GTCAACAATAAAACAATTTAAAAAATTTATGTAACTTCTGTTCTCTTCTCACCACTTCTGGAATATCCAGGCGTGTGTTTCATCGGGCACACCTGGTCATTTACTTATATACCCTCCCCCTTTCAGCACTGGTGTTTCCAATGGCACTCTCAGTGGAAGATTCTCTGGGAATGATTCTGTTATGAATCATCAACCCCATTGAAGGTTGAAAAGTGAAATTACATGTATAGAAAGATTTCTGTAATAGTATATGAAATAAATTTTACCATAAAACTAACCAGACTCAGGCAGATTCTGGAAACTTCATCCCTATAAGAATGATAGAATTATATTGTTTTTTTTAAAAGGGTTTTTTTATACATAATTTCTATACACTGATCCAACTAACTAAGTCATTCAGAAATTTGAATCCTTGGTGCCATCCACAGACTCAGATTTGGATAGCTGCCAAGTAGGTCTTGAGGAGTGTTTCTGGAACTACTTTGACAGGCACACTTACGTATAATTTTGCTTAGGAGAAATGGTAAGCATTTTACCATATGACTAAGGCCTGGTGAAATCTCTATGATGTATGGAAAAAATAGAATATTCTTCTAAAAATAGTGTTTGTTGAAATGGAAATTTACTATTATTTTAGCAAATATGTATTCGTGTACTTAACAGATATTGGTTGAGTTTCCACTAGGAACCTGGCACTGGTCTTACAGGTGGAACGGGACATCTGAACTCAGAGAGCTTAGAGTTTATTGGGGAAATGAACACTTAAAAAGAATGCACAGCCCTGTCCAGCGATGCTCAGTTGGTTGGGAGTCATCCAGTGCACCGAAAGGTTGTTGGTTTGATTCCTGGTCATGGGACATGCCCATGTTACAGGCTCAACCCCTGGTAGCGGGTAGGGAGAGTGCAGGAAACAACCTATCTATGTTGTGATCTCACATTGATGTTTCTCTCGCTGTCTCCCTCTCCCTCTCCCTTCCTCTCTCTCTAAAAATTAATACAAATATATATTTAAAAAAACAAAGATGCACACACACGACAGAGTCAAAATTGTGTTAAAGAACAAGAATGTGGTGCTCTGCAGAAGAATAATTGTGTTGACCCAGACTGTGTGGCTGGAGAATGCCTCAGTTAATAGGAGATGCAGAAGCTGCTGCCTGAAGGAGAATCTAAGGCAGGAAAACGGCACGTGTTACTGTCCTCCTATCTGAGCTACTTTGGCTTTCGGAAGGAACTAGAAGTTGGTCACTGAGGTTACAGTCCTGTTTTGGTGTAAATGGCACAGGTTGAAAGGTTCAAACGGCCGTCTCCTCATACTTTTGCCCCTCCCACTACAAAGCAGTTGTGTAAATCAAATCAGATCACTTCTCTGCTCCGAATGCCTTAATGGATTCTTCATGCATCTCAAATTCCAAAGTCTTCACCATGGACTGGGTTGCCATATACGCTCTTGCTCCTGTTTGCCTTCTCAGCCTCATGTCAGAGACTCTTCCTTTCCCTACTGCTCTTCAATCATACGATCGTTCTGCCACTTCCTAGAGCCCTCAAAACTCATCTGCAGTTTCTTATTCCTATGCCAAGATTACCTTGGGGGGGGCAGGGGGGTGGGTGATGGGAAGGTTCGTTAAGCATGTGGCTGGTTTCCTTTCTTAAGGTGTTAGCTCAATATCAACTCCTCAAAGGGCTCTTTTCTGACCACCTCTTTGTTATCTGTCACAACTATCTGTTTTCTTCTTCTAGTCTGTGCTTGCCTATTGTGTATTGTACATTTTCTATAATGTAAGCTCAACAATACCAGGGACCACATTTGTTCTTCACTGTTCTCTAGATTCTACCCATGACTAGCACATAGTAGACTGGCATACAATAAATAGTTGAAAAATGAATAAATAAACATTTGAATAAAAGAAATGACATTGGAGAAGCATGGAAATTTAAATAATCAAAAAGAGTCTGGATGTTTTCTAAGTGTAATGGGAAATCAAGATTGGTTATAAACAGGTGACCATACTATCATATATATTTTGATAAGGAAAGTCTGAAGACTATCTGAAAAGATGCTTGGAGCAGGGCAAGAATGGAAGCAGGGGACACGTTTGAATGTTACTGCAGTGGTCTAGGTCAGAAGGGGGAAAAGTTATATATATAGAAGAGAGTGTTTGTAGCGGAAAGAGAGTGTCTGTAGATGGGCCTTGTTGATCCAACGATCACCAGGATCAGTGTGTGGAGGGGAAGAGAAAGGTACCAAGACTTGCTCTGATCCTGATGGTAAATGAACAGGTGCTGGTGTACTCAACTACATTAAGGAAGGCAGTGGAACAGTAAGGCTATCTGGAGAAAATGAAAGATAAATTTTCAGAATATTAATTTTGAGATGTGTATGAGACTTTTATTTGAGAAGTTTGGCTGTAGAAAACTAAGGAAGAAGTTGGTAGAGATGTGGGACCGACATAAGTGATGTTGACAAATAGAATCTCTTAAATCCACCTGCTGATAAAAATTAGCTGGTTGTTTTTATCAAACATCCACATTTCATTCCCCTTTCCCAGAGATTCTGAAGTAGTAGCTTGGGATAGACCTGGATACTTGTACATTTAATAAGTTCCCCCAGCGATTCTTGTCACCAGGGGAAAGAGAAACAATGCAATAGAAGATATTTTTATGATAATGAACATCAGAAAGGAAGAGCATGGGTATGCAGGAGAGAGACAGAAACACACACACAGAGGGAAAAGATCTGCCTCTGACAAGTAGAGGGACGCTTCCTCCCTTCCTCTCTTTTAATTAGAGGAAAGAAGGGCAAGATGGGTGAGTGCAGGCACCATTAAGTTTTTATGTTGCTGCTAGAATTTCCCTTCTGATAGCTTGTATTTTCTCAATAAAGTGTGTGGCAAAGGCATCACTGGAAAATCAAAGGTGAAAGACAAAGTATAGTCAGTTATAAAAAGGGTGAAATAATCACAGCCAAAAGTGGGGAAGCAATTTTTCAAAACAAAAGATTTTTTGGCATTGTTGTATGACAATTCAAGGTTATTGCTAATAAATTCATAAAGACAAAATCCTCTCTGTTTTGTATTTCAATGGTAATAAGTATGCACACAGAAACAATTTCCAAAACTTTTATATTTAGTAAATTAAAATGGACGGTAGTTTTTAGAAATAATACTTTTTCCTGCTAAAATTACATGTGTTGTGATAAAATACATGGAATTTATTCAGATTTTAAAGAATGTATATTAGGAGAAAATATATTCAATATATTTCAATAAGAAGGAAAAAGTGAATTTAAGAAGTTTGTTAGCACTTGGATGCTAGGACATATCCTAACATACTATGATCTGATATTAAGACAATTTCCCCCATAGAATTGGATTAACTATCCCTAGATCATATAATATGGGTTAGTCTTTATATTGTTAATACCATCCTGTGGGAATACTTCTGAGTGTCTTTTTTATGATATGGAAAGAACTGAAAAGATGTTCTTTTCTCTATGATTGCTATTGCGTGAAGATCAAAAGAAATGACTTCAGGGTACAAAATGAGGACCATATGGCCCAGGAAAGGACCAGTGTGTTACCCTGCTAGCTGTTAAATCATCAGGTAGATTTCCAAAGCAGCCTGTGTAGTCTCTTTCTGTGAAACTTAGACCAGAGATTCATCCACACAGGATAAGTTGTAGGTAGTTTGACCTACTTAAAATACATCACTAAGTTCAGTCTTAGTGACCCCCAAATGTTATTTCCAACAATAATGTATAATTTTTACAAACTTTGGTTTAGCTTCCCCTTATTCATATTATTTAAACACAATGTATAAAATGGGACCATGAATATTCAATATACTTATACCTATTCAAGTAAAAAGGCATGTATTCTTTTAAAAAGTAGTGTAGTAAATTCTCTATCAGTATGCGTGTCATAACTGTCACTAACCACCAGTAAAAAGAACAGAAGTGCAAAAAGACCCAAGAAAGAAAACCGCCAATAAGGCCCTGCATTACCCCTTTCACATGAGTCACAGCCTCCATCCTTACGCAGTATTTATACATATCACTCAGTCCTGCGGATTTACGTGCACACTGAGTGTAGGTTCTTTTACTAGAGCTCTGTAACTCCCCCATTAGAGCACAGATCATCAAAATGTAAAAGAACTGTTTTTCTCTTATGTATACAATGAGAAAAGAAATTCTTAAACCAGATAGTTAGCTTTGCCTTTAGTTTTCCGAGAAGCACCCTTTTCTTCTCAGATGGCCCCTGACAAAATTCATCTCTCCTTACCTGTTTCTCCTATTTGCACTTTGTAGGCACAATTTTATTTATATCCTTCCACACTGTTAAGAGGACTCAGGATTCTTAACTGGGAGGAATATGCATGAAATGTAATGGACTCACGCATCCTGGATGCGATATAGCTACGACGCACGGCCCTGGTGTCGCTGTCTTGGGACACTGGCATTATTTTACTCTTAAGTTTTATCCTGGACAGAAGCTAACAGTGTAATTGGCACACAATGTAGGTTGAACAAATATTTGTTTAGTCAAATGGAGGGGGTTGCATCCTGCTAGCCAATGCAATGTTTTGGAAGCATTTTTATTATTTTTGAAGCTTTATTTTAAATCTGGAATAAACCAGGACTTCACTAGAATTCCTCACCACTCCAGGGAATTTCTTTTGTCTTTTTCTCTTTAAATGGTTGAGAGTGAAAAGAAGCTATGTGTGTGTCCTGGGTTCCTGTTTTCCAAAGACTGAAGCCTGAATGTAGACTCACTTCTTGTCAAGTTGCAAGTTAAAAATAACTCAGAATTTCATCATCATTATTACATTGCATAAGGTTTCTTCCTGAAAGATTAAGAGAGAGAAAAAAATATGTCTCTTCAGTCTTGAGGAATATAAGTATCAGAGAATGCAGGTGGGGAAGGGGGAGGAAAAACTTAACAACTGGAGATAGAAAACACATTTTTTCCGAGCGAGTGCAGGATGCACGCTCGTGCACCAGTCACCTTGCCGCCGCACTGGTGATGATCTTCAGGCTGCCCGGGTTCCGGATGAGCTTGTCCAGAATGCTGACGATCTGCTCGAACTTGGGTCTGTTGTTTCTGTCTTTCTGCCAGCAGTCCAGCATCAGCTGATACAACGCAGCTGGACAGTCCATGGGAGGCGGCAGCCTGTAGCCCTCATCCACAGCTTTAATCACCTGTGCAAGAAGCAAAGTTTCTGAGGACTTCAGAGGTGGGACTGCCTTCACTTCTTCAAGGGCAGAGCACACCAAGGTGAGTATTCTAAAGTTAAGTGAAAAGTTCTCATTTTAAATCGCTTAAAAAGGTAACAGCTTATCAAATAAATAGCTATTGTTAATGCCCGAAAATGTTATATAAAGGAAGATCAAGAGAGAGACAGTGGATTTAGAAGAGTTTGTATAGATACTTTTCAGATTAAAATTAAAAAGAAGTGTTCAATGACATAGGAAATTCAGTGAATTATAAAGACAATTTTATTTGGTATTACAAATTTCTATGGAAACTATATACGAATGAATGCAGAAAAAAACAGTTTACAGATTTTATTTATACCACAGTTCAAATGGTACCTTTCAAATCATAGTCATGTCCCTTGGAAAAAGCTCATGTGTTGCAGTTAAGTAACGATCAGTTTCTTAGTATTTTAAAATCACATAAAACAGTGACTTTAAACTTTATATGTCTCAGAATCATCTGGAGAACTTAATAATATACAGATGACTAACCTTTGATTGCATCACTCTGGGGTGAGGCCTGAGAACACGCATTACTGCAAATTCCCAGGTCATGCTAAAGCTTCTGGTCCAGAGACCACATTTTGAGGGGCTCTGATACAGATAAAATTTGGAAAATAGAGAGTCTAATATTCCCATTACTGGTGGTTGTTTTTTATTTGTTTTGTCTTTTTAAAAAAAGCTTGTTTGAAGAAATGAAAAAAGTTTTTTATATCCAAACACATTAAAGGCAGTTTTATATGTGGCAAGTAGGAAATGACTAAAAGCATCTCAGCTTTCCGTTTTGAGCATTTTGAGCTCATGCTCACAGTTTCTGGCTGAGCATAAAGAAAAATCTCTGAGTGCTGATCCCATATGCCAAGAGCATCCTTTTACTAAGCATTAGCAAACATGACTTATAAAAACAAAAATCCTTTTGAAAAATCATATCACAGTTATAACCGAGAGTTAAAGATTATTTCTTTTCATCTAGAGCAGAGACTTCAATTTGTATAACTAAAGTCACGTGCAACATTAATACATAACCAGGAGCAACATGCTACAGATTGGTTATTTTGTCTGATTCGGGGAAATACTATATTTAAGTAAACAAAATGTTGGCATAGATGCATTAATTACATCTACAAAGGCTGGCAGACATGTGTATCTTACTAATGTTACATAGAAACAATTCTGTAGTAAAAATATTCCAAACACTCCCTGATGTATACTGGCTATCTTGTTAGTCACTTATTTTACTACATTTTGATACAAATCTCTTCATTTTTGCCTCAATTCCAAACTCCTGCTTGAGAGAAAACTATAAAGCCATAAAAGCAGCTCAATTAATATTCTTGCAAGATTTGGAAACAATTCCATTTTTTAAGGATTCTATTTCAACGTCACAAACTGGGAGCCACCTGGTTTCATTATGCGCCACTTCCTTGCACAGCTTGATGTCTCAATTTGAATCCATAACTCATGGGCTACAAATACTTACATCCTGATTGGACATCTCCCAGTATGGCCTCTCTCCGTAGGACATCACCTCCCAGAGAACAATCCCGTAACTCCAGACGTCGCTGGCTGATGTGAACTTGCGGTAGGCTATAGCTTCTGGGGATGTCCACCGGATGGGAATCTTTCCTCCCTTTGAATATAAAATCACACGGGCATACACAGTCAGTGCACAGAGCATAGAAATATACAGTATAATCTGAAATGTGGTTGAATTTGTCAGGGTCTCTCTCTTCTGAAATGGAACGTGGGTTTCTGTTGATGTATCTTGACATTCTTCTACTTTAATACCAAGCCAGAGCGAATGGCATGCTATTTACTACAATATTTACTTCCAGTTTATTTAAAAGAATTTAAAAATAGTAAAGAAAAAGGAAGAAATTGCTTAAATACTGACATTTTATGTCAACTGCGGCACATTAATTAGTCATCTGGAACAAGGCAACTTGACGTGGATGTGCAATACCATATGTTAGAATAGAGTGAGGTATCTCATATCAATTTGTGTTGATTTAACTAGATTTCTGCTCTATCATACTATCTCAGCTCATAATGTGAATAAGTTAGTATTTGGAAAGAAGTTATACCATTTCTTGACACTTATAGGTATTTGCTAACTAACTAAATTCAAAATAAAATTAGACTTCTACAAAACTCTCTTAAATACATTAATCAGTCATCTCAACTTATTCAGTGCCTCGCTTCATCATTATTCACTGATGTACCTTTTGTATACTAGGTAGGTACAATATAAACTAGAAAGATACGCTACTACATTCCTAGTACTTTCTAGAGAGGGATATGTGTTCTATGAGTTACAGGACATATAAAGGTATGTCTCCCATGGAATCTGCTCTCAGTTTAATAGATACATTTTAAAAAATGTGCCAAGTAGCAACCATATGGTCACTCTGGGTGAGACAAATACAAGTAACACACTGGCCCTCCAACTTGGAAAATATCAGGCAAATGGGAATAATAATTAGTTGTTGTGAATAACTAAATGTAGAAAAAAATATGTAACTTATCAAAGAAATAAGCTTTGTTTCTCAGATTTTACAATGCATACGAATCATCCCTGGCTTGCTCTCATGCAAGTGAAAATTCTGATTCAGTAGCTCCAGACTGTAGGCAAGGCCTACATTTTTAAGAAGCTGATGCTGATCAGGCTGGTCATGAACCTCACTTTAGGTAGAAAGGCTTCAGAGAAGACGTGCTGTAGAGCGCGAAGCCCTGATTATCACTGGAGAGAAGGGGGAGGTCACATATAAATTGACCTTTAAAGATGTATCCATTTCTGATACAACAAGAAAAAGTAAGGGATGTTCCAAAGGATGTACATCATCAAAATCCCAAACTGTACTCATCCAAATGTGCTCCATTGACATTGCATCTCATAGCCCTTGGCTGGTTCTCAAGTAATGCTCAAGGAGGACAATATATTACTTTTGAGAAATAGATGGAAAACTTGGGAGGTGAGTTACTTTACCTCATTAGGCCCGAGTTTCCTCATCTGTTATTTGGGAAAGTAGCAGCACTGATTCATGGCTTTGTTGTTAGGCTAAATGACAGATTTCAGTAAAATCTTTAGCCCAGTCCCTGCACATGGGAAAGCCTCAAGAAACACGAGCTTGCAACTCCCAGCCTGAGGGGCATGGCATAAAGCTCAGCTCAGAGGAGGAAACTGGATGTTCTGGAAAAAATTTCTGGTGTAAAAATACTACAGATTATGTGGAGGAATAGAATGAGAGAAGATGAGGAAAGTTAAGTCAGAAGTTAATGAGAGGCAGGCAGAGTTTTATCCTGCAGAGGAGAATGGTTTATGTGATTCTAATGACCTCAGAGAAGCTGACACTTCTTGACGTTTCCATTCGAGTCAGCTGTGTAGAGAGAGACTGTTGCCGAAAGATCTTTGAGAGAGTTGGGGCTTACTCTAGGCTTTGAAAAATGCATGAAGCTGTGGAAAAGTGAGCACGAGAAGGGGGCTAAGCACAGGCTTATTGAGAAGCCTCCAGCCTAAGGGGAGTCAATGACTTACATTGGTCAAGTAAGAGAAATCAAACAGGACAGACGGGAGCCCGAGTGAGAAAGCCTTGGGGGTCAGTGAGAGACCCTAGGGTGCTCAGCAAGCACTAACTAGGGCAATGATGGTTTAGAACCAGAAAAACAGAGTAGAAAATGTTTACAGTCATGGAGATGAGAGAACAGGTGGTCTTAGGAGTTTCCCCTTTCTTTTCTCTCTCACGTTCACTCATTCACTCTCTTCTTTACTGTGTGCATTTTTTCAGCAAAATTTTAAAAAGTCCCTTCTCATATTTAAATGTAGAGGGTCTGTTGTCAATGTTGCCCTTTTTTCTCTGTCAATGCATTCAAACTTAAAAATAACAATATTTTAACACCCTAGACTAACTTATTTGCACTTGTCTAGACCAAGTTTGGGTTTTAAGGAGTCAAAATTTCAAATAATATCTCTGAAGTCAGGTAAAAACAGAATTATACATGTGACAATTAAAAAAATCTATTCAGGATGCCAAACAGAATCATTGGGCATACTTACTCTACTCTCCCTTAAAGAATTCTGAGAACTGACAGAAGTCAAACAAAGCTGTATTCATGATGAAAAGAAAAGATTTCAAAATCTCAGCTCACTGTCTTATCTCTGCTACCAACACTTTGCCATTTCCTTCTTTGCCCAGAACCAAATTACTAAAAGCACAAAAATGGCACTGAAAGAAAGAAAGAAAGAAAGAAAGAAAGAAAGAAAGAAAGAAAGAAAGAAAGAAAGAAAGAAAGAAAGAAAGAAAGAGGAAAGAAAGAGGAAGGAAGGAAAGGAAGGAAAGGAAGGAAAGGAAGGAAAGGAAGGAAGGAAGGAAGGAAGGAAGGAAGGAAGAAAGAAAGAAAGAAAGAAAGAAAGAAAGAAAGAAAGAAAGAAAGAAAGAAAGAAAGAAAGAAAGAAAGAAATCCATGCTGAAAACTTAGAAAATACAAGGCACAGGCATATGTCACCTTACTAAGGTCTCCAGTGAGAATTAAAATAGATTGATGACAACCATGATCTTACTCCCTGAGTTGTTTCATCCTAAGTGATTCATCCCTATATTTCAAAGAGGAGGACATTGGACATATTTTAATAAAGTTTCTTAAAGTTTCTTTAATATTTTCCTTAGGAAGGACATGCCAAGCCTGTGTTCAGGTTTGGAAGGAGACTCTCTTGGTGTGCTCTTCTGGATGCAGACACACATGCTATTGGCGGGGTCTCTGCTGCTATAGCCTCACCCATCTCTTCAGTGGGAGCTGTGCCCTCCACAATCCCACACACTTAGCTGAGACCCCTGCAGTGTATTCTCTAATGTGGCACGTGGTTACAGATTCAAGCAAATTATTTCCGGGATGCCTTTCCAAGTAAGTGCTGTCTACTTGCTTTCACTGTATAAATCTTATTAATAGGTTAAAGCCCACACAAATAGGAAATGTGTTTTGGAAAAATGTTTGAAGAATTTTGTTCATAAAAATGCTTACATTTTTAAGTCTGCTCTTGCTCTAATATGCACCTGCCAAACACACAGACACACAGACACACACACACACACACACACACACACACACAATTGTCAGGGTAACAACTTTTCAATATAACAATTTCTGTAACAGTGGCTGGTCAAATACTTCTTATACTTTCTTCAACTTGGATTGCAACTAATTCTTAACAAAATATTTTGGCTCTCAACACACTGTGCTACTTTGGGAAAATATGTCGTCCACACTGGACAGTAGTCACGTGTGAAATGACGAAAGCCTATCCCTCCAATACCTGCGAACTTTTGCATGCAGGTTATGGCCTCTTTACATGTTTGATGTTTGGGTTTTTAATCTAAGCTTTCCCCTGGCACCTAACTCTACCAAAGCTCGAGTTGCTGCCCTTATGGGAAAGCATGTGGAAGTGAGACAATTTGGATTATTTTATTTTATTCCTAACATGTTATTCTAAACACAAGAAGAGTTGGTAAGCGGCATTCACTTAGCTCAACAATTAAACCAGTTAGCAAAGTTATGTGTTCTTCATTTATTGAGAAATTTCCATTGACCAACCTCTTAGTGTCCTTGTTCCTTTCCTTAGGGCTGAGCTCTGTTCCATGTCACTGTTTAGTTAGTCCATATACTTAAAAGTTAATATATTTACACTAATAACAAATATAAAACTCTTAATTCATATTTCTTTATATGATACCCATGCAAGTCATTCTGAATAAACCATTGGGGCTGATCTGAACTCTTTATTCAGGAGAAAGCGAATGAATAAGTATTGTTTGCCTTTGCTTAATGCCATTGTTGACATCCCGAGGTAGTTAGCTTTAAACCCTAGAATTTTAATGCTAGAACGTTTAGCTTTCTTATTAGACTTTCATTGCCTGCTTCCAGGTAGTGTTTTAGACTGATTAGTTTTGCTCTGACATCAGCATGATAATCGTAGATTCCAGATTCTTGTCTTGCCCCTCGTCAGCCATCTGACAAATGATGGCATCCGGCATCGAGGGAATCAGGAAGACAATAAAGATGATTGAATATTATATTCATTATTATTTAGGAAAATTTTTGTCACTGGCAATGGATTTATGATATACTTAAAGAAACTAATAAAGTATCTAATCTTTAATAGAGTCCTCCATAAATGTTGGCCTTTCTTCCTCTCTAAGTCCTGTCTCTTGGCTAACACACCTTTACTACGGGCATCAAGAATTCATTACGTGAGGATATAAGGGGAAGCTCACTGTCTACTTCAAAGCACTATTCAAATTTAGCATTTGCGACTATTATTGCTAAAAAGAAATCAAACTAAGAATATTATACATTTTTTATTTTCCTATGATTGACAAAAAATGCAATATCAAGCCACTCTGGCTTTCAATGAGAGACACATAAACCATCACTGTACACATTTAATTTGAAATCAAGCTACAGGAGAGATCCCAACACAGCAAATCATTATAGAGTTTGAGGAAGGGTGAATACGTTATTACAAATATGTTATCGTAAACTGCTTAAATTCAACATTGTAGTTTCAAATTCTCTATATTCAACACTAGCAAAATGAATTCAAGTAGTAGCTTTTATTCTTCTACCCATTGTCATAAA